AAAAAAAAAAAAAAAAAAGGAAAATTCAGATGCAAAATTAAAACAAAAAACAATAAACTGAAGAAGAGAATGTTTACCTGATTGGCAAGACTTCCTCTAGAGCTTCCATGGCGTCCAAGGCCCCTCCTTTGTTATACGTACTCTGTACCTCCTCACCATCTTCTGATTTCTCCATTGATTTCTCAGAAAGATCACTGTTTTTCCCAATAGATGATGATGATGATGATGATGATGACTCTGAATAATTATAATTATTCTGAATTACTGATTCTTTAAAGAACCCATTTTCCTCAGCATCTTTAAACACAACCCTTCTCTCTATGAAAACCCCACCTCTTGTGGGCATTTTTATTTGTTAAAATTGAAAAAAAAGGGTTTGCAGAAAACCTCAGAAAAGACAGATTACCAGTGTTGTTGTTCTCTGTTTCAAAAAAGGGAAATATTTTGTTCTTGAAAGAAAGAAGGGAAATAGGCCATGGAAGATGAGATCTGAGCAGAAGAAGAAGAAAGAACAAAAGGGGGAGTATTTACAGAGTGAAGGAAATGAAGAAACAGTTATTCATATTCTATTTTTTCATATTTATATATTTAAAATACCATATACTCCCTCCTTTTTAAAATAAGTGTCGTTTTGACTTTTTTTATTATTTAAAATATGTCTAGATACATAGCAAAATGAATGAATCAAAAAAATCAAACGACACTTATTTTAAAAATGAGGTAGTATTTATTATATCGGACTTTTCAGAATAATAACGACGAAGAAAGGGGGAAAATAGAACTGAATATTCTCACATCTCAACAAAGAAAACAAGAAAATAATAAAAATATATAAGGTTGGATAAAGAAGTTAGGTCTTATCCTCATCCACATCCACATCCACTGGCTGGCTATAATAAATCTTGGGAAAAGCTTTTTTTGTTTCAAAGATAAAAGAAAATGTACTCCACCTTTTTTTTGAATTTGTTTTTGTACTAAATTTATTACTACCTCATATTTTTAATAGATGTCGTTTTGAGAAATTGTACATTAATTAAGAATATATTTTTTGTCAATAATACCTTTATTTAATGAAGATAGGATGAATATTTTGAGAAAAAGTAAAAAGTGGATATGAAAAAACGTAATGTATTTATTAGCTAAATGAGAGTAATAATGGAAAAATATGTACAAAATATCCAAAACGATACTTATTTAGCAAATAGTTGATAAAACTAGAATGACAGGAGCAGTACTATTGAATATTGATTGAGAAGCTGTGTGTTGTTGTGGACACGTTTCGTCATAATTGTCCCAGCTATATTCTTTACAAAATAATCGGTCAAACAAATAGTAGGAGTACCACTTTTGCTTAATTTCCGGTGACAACAATTGGCTGTTTGTGTGTGTCACTTGTGTGTATTGTAGTATGACCTAAAGATAACTTACTACTTTATCACTAGCTAGTTGATTAATTTATTTATTTAATTAATTGATACGATATGCATGATACCGACTAGGGATTAACAAATTCAAATAACTTCTAACTTACTCGATTGTAGTTGATAATTGATATTTGATGTTTTGTTTGCCAATAACTAGTTAGCTGTTAGTGGATTGTGTCAACGATTTTGACTAAAAGATTGTATCAGCTGTTTTGACCAACAATTTGTTATAAAACTGTTTGGTAAATTAGCTGCTCGTAAACAGTTCTTAACATACAAAATTACTTACAAAGACATTCACAAACTTTAATTCCTTAAATTTGTAATTAATTAGAAAATGCAAGTTATTTTTTTTTCATATATTGTTTTTTTTATATATATAATTTTTATATATGTAAATAATTAATTAGTTTTTTTTTATATATATATAATTTTTGGCGTATAGCATTTAATTAATAAAACATCTAAAATTTTCCCTCCATTTTCGGTTACAAAATTTATCATTAATATTTTTTTACTTCTCACGTTAATACATCATATTGGGTGTAATCATGTATGTTTTTATTATATTATATAATAATCTATACCTACGTGGCAATTTTACATTTTTCCAACAACAACTGTTACTTTTGATTTATTTAACCTTTCATCTAATTGTTAGATAATCAACACTAATCACTTCAAAATTACATAAGTCATTTTAAACTTTTAATTATTGACAGTTGACAATATAAAGTGTTAATCGTATAATGTGATTAGATATTGTTATTGTGGTTACATTTAAATTAATTTTTTTTTTTGAAAAATAAAAAACTTATTTAAATTTTCTAAATAAATAATAAAAACTGGTTCTGGTGTGAGAACCGTGAGAACCGTATTTGACGCTATTTTTCATTGTGTTGTAATATCACATGGTGCTATCATTTTTACAAATGATAATATAAATTGTATTGCTATTTTTAATAAAATACATTCTAGTTAAAAATAGTACTAAAACACAATAAAAATGACATTGCGTACAATTAAAAAAAAACGGTTTTCACGGTTCTCACAATAGTACTTGGTTCTCATTTTACCTACTTAATAAAATATCTAAAATTTTCTCTCTATTTTAGGTTACAATATTTATCATTAATTTTTTTTACTTCTCATATTAATACATCCTATTAAGTGTTGTTGACGAGCGTTTTCGGTCAACGGCTAAAGTAATGGATAATAAGGATACGGGACTGAAAACAAAAGCAAGAGATAATTTAATTACGATTTTATTATGCGATCACGAGGTCGGCACTTGTGATATACTTACAGTTCTTACAAGAGATTTCTTACAGTTTTAGAGGGAGAAAGTAGAGAGAAAGTAGAGTTAGTTGAGTTTCAACAAACCAAAATAAATGAAGCAATAGCTATTTATAGTATCCTTAAATGGGGTACTGTTCACCGGTCTTGTCGCACAGTAAACTTGCGGAGCAGTTCGGTGCCTCCCTGACAGTTAATTAATGCTATTTGAGGTTTCTTTAATCATTGTCTGTCAGACATTTAATGTAAGCATGAGGGGCATTTAATGCTGGCAGACTTTCTTGACTATGCTTGTTTGTAGGGTGACAGGCTATGACAGCCCGTCCCATCATCCAATGATGACCTTCCAAGTGAGAATATTTTGATGTCCTCCGAGCCCCGTCCTGGCCTCCGGGATGGCCGCTCCGGGTCTTCAGGTCGGCACTTTCCTCGAATCCACGCGTAGGACGCACAGAGCCCATCTTTCAGCTCGACACCCACCCAGTTCGGCACATGCTTTTACTGAGCGGGGTGCCGGCCTCGAAGAATGCTCCCATTGAGATCCTTATCATTTTATTCCCCGGTTCACCTCGGCATTTCTATTCCAGACCGGTTCCCAAACCCGAATCTTGGTAGGTGATGTCTCCCCAGTTCATTCCTGGCTAACTCGGATATCAACATGTGTAATCATGTATTTTTCTATTATATTATATAATAGTTGTTGCTAATACCATTTAATAATAATTCAAAACAAATATAAATTACATAATTATAAACAATTGTTTCAAGTTATTTATATTGACATCAATATTATTTTTTTCTTTTGTATCTCATGAAAAAATTTCTTTAAAAATAATTAGTAATATGTTTTAATAGCACAATCAAACAATTTTAGAATCTTATAAACAATTATTTTTTAATAATAATAATAATAATAATAATAATAATAATAATAATAATAATCAAACTATTATTATCTAATGATAATAAACAATTGTTCATAATAATAAAATCGTTAATTTATTTTTTCTAATGATCAAATATTTGAAAATATAATATATTCATTATCTAGAATTTTAATATTAAATTCTCAAATATTACTTATAACATTTTATATGCATATGTGCATGTGCACATGATATCTAATAATTAATATAAAAACAAACACAAACAATAAAGGAAATGACAACACTTCTCAATTGAATATAAAAACAAACACAAATAATAAAGAAAATGCAAATTATCCATATTTTTCTTCAATTTATCTACTTTGTTGCTCTTTATTTTTATGTTGTTGTGGCCTACAGGAAATTTCAATAACAAAAAAGGGCAATTGTGACTACTTATTTTTCTTATAAAAAAAGCCAACCCCAAAACGCTCTATTGAGTAGCGTTTTGGTTTTCATTTGTTGGGCCTAAAAAAACTGACGCAAAAGCTAATTTACCAAACAACATTTTTTGTGGATTGAAAAAAAGTCAAGCAATTATATGCATAAGCATGTGTTGATATCGGAAATCGGATGATCAACTGTTGAAAATAAATCGAATATGTTGTATGTAAAATCAAGAAGAAGATGACTAAAATAGTGTTTTATTCTTAGAGAGAGAGAGAGAGAGAAAGAGAGAGAATTGGGAGGAGAATCAATAGTCCCTCCCCCTTCTTTTTTAAGGCCACTTATATATATGATCATTTTTTACAAGTGGGAGAATAAACAAGTAAAAAATATTACACCATTATTTAATATGAGATAATTATCGTGAGACCCGCTTATGACTTTTGACGGTTCCGATTAACGTTGGTCTTCTTGGCAATTGTCTCGTTTGCCGTAAGCAATTTCTTCATGATATATGTGTCGTCGATTTCGGCTCGGCACCGGGCGGACTTGACATCTGGGGGCCTGATCGGCTTTTAAATGATCAGTCTTGTGTACCTGTTTCTATATTTATTTATCTCGTATTATCGGCTCCTCAGTTATCGGACCGTATTTTATTATTTCATTTATTATATAATTAATCGGAGCCAAATTGGGTATGAACAACATGTTTGACCAATTTAGTGGATTATCTCGTTATACAAAGTACTTAGTAGATAATTAATTGGTTGACACGTGAAAATAACTATACTTACAACTCTCTATTCTAAAAGAAAAACTCATATATTGAGTTTTTTACCCTTCAAAATGAATGTTTTGGATTTAAAAATAATAATACAAACTACTATTTATCGAACAATAATAAAATAGAAGTTTAGTTTACAAAATATAATGATCAACTAAACTCTAATTATAATTTGAGTGCATAAGCCAACATGGTGTTAACTTTTGCTCGAGAATACATACATGTAAATATTAAGAGTCATGCTACACAATTAAATTAATTTATAAATTGAGTCAATATGTATGATAAGTATTCATTAATTTTTATCATAGTGTCACTACCAAAAAACACTACAATTCCAACGACAAAAATTTTCGTTGGAAATTCGAATTAATATTTCAACACTTAATTTTATGTTGCAATAAGTTTTGGATAGTTGAAGAATTCCAACGGATTTTTCCGTTGGAATAGCTGTAGGAATTTATTTCCATATGATTTTTCGTTGGATATTTGCTATTTCAACGGCCGTTTTTTCAACGAATTTTTATACGTAGGAATATCCGTTGGAATAACTATTCCAACGAAAATATAAAAAATTCCAACGAAAAATTTCCGTTGGAACGTAAGAATTTTTTTGTAGTGTGTTACCAAAAGCAAGTACATTCCCGTCAATACGTAATTCGTGTGGCAAGTTGATAAATTAATCAAACAAAGCAAATTAACTCAAAGTAGTATCCGACCTATGCATTTGCACAAATATATAAATAAAGTATTGTGAGTTATTCGTATGCATATAATGGTTAATATTTTTAATAAAATTTACAATTAAAGGAGCTGAAATATTTAGTTTTTAAATTGTGTTTATCATATTGGATGTAATGTATATTTTGGTATGTATTTTTTTTGTGAATTATTTATTATTTATTTAGAAATTTCAAATACGTTTTTTTATTTTCCCAAAGAAGTTAATTTAAATATAACCACAATAATATCTAATCATGTTAAATAGTCAACACATTACATGGTCAGTTGTAAGTAAATCAAAAATTTAAAATGATTTTTGTAATTTTGAAGTAATTAGTGTGTTAATTATCTAATAATTAAATGAGAGGTTAAATAAATAAAAAGTAACAATTTTTGAGGAAAAAAATTATATTGCCACATAGGTATAATTTAATAGATTTTATTAAATGCTCATGAACCAGCAATTATATATTATTATTATTATTATTAAAAAATATTTGTTTATGAGATTTCTAAGGTTGTTTGACTATGCCATTAAAACAATTTACTAATTGTTTTTGAAGAAAAAAATATGAGATACAAAAGAAAAAGATAATATTGATGTTAAAATAAATAATATAATTAGGTCACTTTAAACAATTGTTTATAATTATGTAATTTATATTTATTGTAAATTATTATTAGTTGATATTAGCAATAACTTTATATAAGATAATAGAAACATACATCATTACAATCAATAGGGTGTATTAAATGTGAGAAGTAAAAAATATTAATGATAAATTTTGTAACCGAAAATGGGAAA